AGGAGTTTGGAGGTTTCTTATGCTATGCTACCGACGCCACGGAGGCAGCTCCCACACCTGGACCCTACCTATCGACCCATCAACTCATGACTGAAGATTAAAAAAATGCTCGGATGTTCCGAAAACTTTTCGAAAATTCCGTAAACGTCTCGAAGGTTCCATGATTTACAAGAAATTTTTTAAAATTTGCCAAAGATTTTAAAAGTTTTTCTAGAATTTATGAAAATCAGCGAACATTTTGTGTTCTTCTCGAATGTTCTGGTGAACTTCTCTGATGCTCCGGAAACTTCTATTGATTTTCCAAACAACCTTAAAGTTCTCTAAAGATCTATGAAGATCCGTGAAGCTCCAAAGACTTCTATTAACTTTCCAAAAAGTATAAAAGTTCTTGTAAAATTTAATTAAGATTCGTACACTTTTATAAAGTTCTGCGCATTCTTTGAAACTTATGTAAACCGTTTCTGTGAACTTTTAAGAACTTCCAAGAATGTCTTAATAGCAAATGATTCGTGAACTTCTCGGATGGTTCGTAATCTTGTCAAAAGATCAGTGTATTTCAGGGTAGATTCGTTAACTCCTCGAAAGTTCTGTTAACCTATTGGAAGCTCCGTGCACTTCTCGTGAGATCCCTGTTATTCTCCGAACTTATCTAAAGCTCCTGGAACTTCCAATAAATTGCAAAAAACCTTTTAGGTTTCTATGAACTTCTTGGAAGTTCCAAAAATTCCTAGAAAGTTTGGTAAATTTATCCCGAAAGTTCCATGTATTTCTAGGAAGTTCCGTGAGCTTTTCGAAAATTATCTAAAGCCCCACTAACTAATTCACTTCACTTCTCGCATGTTTCGTAAACTACTCGGAAGTTCCGTGAATTTCTAAGAAGCTATGTTAAGTACTCGGAAGATCCGTAAACTTACTGAAAGCTCCAAGAACTTCAATAATGTTGCCGAAAACAATCTATAGGGTTTCCTAGAAGTTTATAAGGCTTCGAAACATTTCTCGGAAATACCGTGATCGTCTAAAGTTCTAAAGATCATGGTTCTCTGAACTTCGAAGGAAGTTCTCTGAAGCTCTATGAATTTCGAAGAAGTTCGCTTCTCTAGGAAGTTATATTAACTTCCTTGCAACTTTCTTAAGCTTGCACTGAAGTTCCCTGAAGTTCCCTCGAAGCTTCTCTTAAGTTAAGAAGAGTTCCATTCTTAACTTCTCTCAAAAGATGTGTTTTAGGTGTTCTCGGCTTCCATTAAAGTGAACGTATTACGGCAACATATTCCTACCCATTCCTTTCTTGACCAGCATTTGGCCGACACTGGTGTGGCCTAGTTTTAGACCACCAGTATTTACACATTTAGGATAATTGCTAGTCTCAAGCAATAACAGCTGATCTGGTAAATTAAGCTCGATTCAAAGTAAATCTGGACGCAACCACCGCGCCCCTGGTGGTTGGAACAAAAAACGTTTGACAGGAATTTGTTGATGTTTCATTGCCGAAGAAATTGGTGCAAAGTTTTTCTCGATTGATCGACGCATCCCGAAATTACGGATCATGGAACTTGAGAAAAGAAAATTAATTGTGCACAACATCTAGAGAACCCTTCGTGGTCTGCATAAAAAATAGCAAAAGTGTTAAAATTCCCAAAATCAACGGTGAGTCTTGTAATCAAACGTTACAAGGATACTCTGAGTGTGGATAGAGCACAGCGCATCTATCATAAAAGTGGCACTAGGGACAAAGAGCTGAGGAGAAAGGTGTTGATGTACGTGAAAAGCAACCCAGGTGTCTCCATATGTGATTTGGCAAAGAAATACAATTCCAACTTTTCCACCGTGCGTAACATCCTTTCAAAAGAAGGATATAAGTCTTTTTATGCCAGTAAACATCAGAATCGCTCCCTGAAACAAAATTTAGTGGCCAAAAAGCGAGTACGATAACTATACGAACGAGTTTTGACGAAATTTTATGGCTGTATTTAGATGGATGACGAAACATATGTCAAAATGGATTATAAACAAATCCCCGGACGAAAAATTTACCTGGCAACTGGTCGTGGGGACGTCCCTTCCAGGTATAATTTTGTTTTTGCTGATAAGTTTGCTCGGAAACTAATGATTTGGCAAGGAATCTGAAGTTGTGGCCTTAAAAGCAAGGTTTTCACGAGGGGAACGACTCTATCTACGATGCAAAAAAGATTGTGTTTTGCTGTGGCTAGCTGCACGCACGCTGAGTAGATAGAAGGAAGATTTATGTCGATTTTGAAGATTTCCTGCAAAAAAGATGAAGCACGATGCTAGTAGATGCGAGAAATTAAAGATGATTTTTCGAAGATTGATTCGCTAGTGTGAGATTTTTTGAGCATCTAGAATTGAGATTTAGATGTGTCGCCCCCCTCGGGTTTTCATCACATCTCCTGCAATGACGTCGAAGGTTTACATTAAAGAGTGTCTGAAAAAGCGGATTTTACCCTTCATTCGGCAACACAAGACCAACGTTATGTTTTGGCCGGATCTAGCCAGCTGCCACTACTCTAAGGAGGTACTAGAATGGTATGCACAACAAATGCGTTTAAAGTGGAATAAGTTCGCCGGTACAGTGTCACCAGCGACTGTGCAGATCATGATGGCATCGATCACAAGTAAAGTGCGGTAGTTCGTTCAAAACGGTAAATTGTAATAACTTGTTATATATCGTTTGAAAGCTGAATAAATACCCTTTTGTTTGACGTTTTGATCAACCGTGTATGTTGTTTAATTCTTGAGTTATGATCACTTGAATGCGTCCAAATTTACTTTGAATCGGGCTTTATCCGGATTACGGATAAATCCGGATCAAACTGTCAACACTAGTGAAAAGTAACTAGTATTCAATTGATACAACTTGAAATGAACTATTTCTAGAACGCCGTCAAGCATACATTAGGTCGACAGGATATTGAGCCTGTCACAGCAATTTTGCACTGCACCTTTCTCATCAACTTTAATAATTGATTAGGATGTAGCTACGGAAGGCATGAACTTTTCCCCACTGGTGTGACTCTCATCCTCTTCCCGAATCCCACCCCCAAGGGTTACACATTTGCTATGCTGTCTACAACCTTACATTTGTGACGCAGTACGCGGCTAATTCAGCAGGTAGAAAGGGTTCCAAACGTTAACTTTACACACGTGGAAGAATATTATTTTCATGATCCAGTTCCAGACTACAGAAACACGTGCCGGCCGTGTACTTATCCCACCGCATACCAACAGCCTTTCGCTACCTGTTCACGTTTAGGGGCAGCTTAGCGTGCTTGAATTATTCAGATGACCAAACGTTTGCTTTTCAGCAACTGGGTCTCCTTAAATCCAGGAAAATCCCGACTTAAAAAAGGATGCCACTTTCTCCGGACAGGTTTCCATTTTTATTTGGTCGATGATTAAATTATAGAATCTTTGCCCTTTGTGATCCTTCGGCCAAAACTTATAATTGGATATTGTGAGAAAGGATAGAGCATGATTGACATTTCCCTGCTTGTTTGGCATAGATTTAGCTCTTTTATTCGTTAAATAGGCATTGGGTCCGGCTCCGGATGGGCTTGTTGTGAAACAAAAGTAGAACAAGCTTCAATCAATGGATACAAAACGGGGTGGAGGTACGGTTGTTAGGTGAAACAGTTAATGAAAACAACAGGAAGCATTTCTGTGCACGGGAAGTGACAGGGTTGCAGTCCTTTATCATAAATCAGGTGACAGGACCATCATTTTTAGTTCGTTAAATTTTCATGTAAACCCAAATTAAACCACCTAACGGTCTTAAGCATAATTTTCTCAAATGCAGCTTAAAGAAAAGAGAAGCCACATTTTACGAGCACTTCTCAGCCCTTTGAACTGCTGCAACTTTTCCTCGGTAATTAGTGCAAAATCGATACTTTATTGCATACATTCAAATCCACCTAGCCATTCTTCTTTTTGTAGACTGCATCGGTGCCAAACTACCAACTATACCACCCGATGAACTTGCCCTTCATCACCAGAGGCACCCGGGGAGGAGACCATATACTTTCATTGAAGAAGGCAATGCACGCCCATTTCCTGTGCCCCTAGTATCTCAGATCGCTGCTGCAGCAGTGTTGCAACGGCATCGTTGGAAAATTCCCGGACACAATACGAAACATCGTCTACTAACTGCTAGGTTCAGGTACGTCGTCCATAGGTAGCTGCTATACGAAATGCCTCTCAAGGGAGGAATGTTTGGAGCGAGCTAGCGGCTCCGATATTGCAGCTGGAAATTGAGCAACATTAGCTCAATTTCCTGCGTGGTACTGGTGCACACCATGCTAACGATAATTACCTTGGAACTTCACTTGATATTACAGCCGTGTAGAGGCAAAGCGCCCTCTGGCGAAACGAGCGTGACTTTGGCTCGAATTGATGATTATGGAAACGGAACGGTAACTGCGCTTTCACTACTATAGGTAGGTTCAATTCCACGTAGCGTACAATGTTTGGCCAACAGTTTGAATTTGCTCCAAAGGATGAAAGTTGGAAAATTGCTCCGCACTGTTTGTCGTCGTGCCAGTGCATAGTTTCCTTTGCCGTTTTATTTTCTCGTCTTTTTTTTTTTTTTGCTTCCCATTTGAACTCAATCATAAAGTGGAACGTGACTAATGACGAGGAAGTGCAGCAGGGAAATCGTTTGCGCTCGATGGCAATCTGACAGGGACGAGAAAGAAAAAGCAGTATATAGTAAAGTTGGTGTGTCCCATGTGGTTTGCATTGCGCGATTAGGGTTTTTTTTAATTGCAAAATATTCCTAGAATCTCCAAATAGAGGCTGATTAAAAATAAATTGGTACGCACAAAAAGACCTGTAATTCGTGAATCAATAAATTTAAAAAGTCCATTAATGTCCAGTACTTTTATTAAAGCTTCAAAGTTACAGCATTAGATGGTTACAGAACCACCTTGGAGTAGTGGTAGCTAGCCAAATCGGGCCGTAATTCTAATAAGAGAAATCTCACTTCAAATTTACAAATCGGTGGTGAGGCCACAGTTGTTACCCTTCACCGCCATCAAAGTATATCCATCGTTGCCCCAGTAGTTGAACCAGGAGTTCTTGATTAACCAGTAATCTTCTTCTTTGAGTTTTCCGTATCCAACCGCCACCACTGCATGATCCAATTCATCCAAATTGTTCTTGCATTCTGGTTCGTAGTACACTCCAACGGCTGAAAAACTTGTGACCTGCATCGATAGCAATCAACAGCCCTCGGAAGCTTATATTTTGAATTTAAATGTGAACCGAGATGTGAATTACTGGTCTGTGATCCTCTAGTATATCCAATTAGAGTATGTTTCGGAAATATACTGTCAAACAGAACGTAATTTCATTTCATTAACAATCCAATTCCTACGAGATTGTGCCGAAGCTGTACCAAGAGATGTGCCCAAGCTGTGCCGAATCTAATTTCGGCACACTGACCTTGATCCTATGCTTGCGGATGAACGGCAATACACGCTTTTTCAGGCATTCTTCTATGTAACCTTGGGATGTCATCCTCACACAGTGGTCCATATTTAAAAAAAGGGCTTAAAACACTGTACCGTATCCGTGATAATATTTGCACCATTGAACTATGTCAAAATTAAAAAAATTCTCAAAAATTTCGTTCCCGAGTTTTTTTTATTTATTCAAAGGGATGTTTCTCAGAGTCTTAAATTATGTTAATCATCGATCGAGTTTTCACTTGCGGCAATTACGGCCGCCAAGGTTCTACGCTTCCGGAATGCACGGCAAGTTCTAATAATGTAGTCTGGATCCATTTCTCTCCAGGTACGGGTCAATGTTTGTCTGAGGCTTGCTGTAAAAGGTTGGCGTTTAGAACAGGCCTTGGCCTTCATGACGCGCCATATTGAGTAATCCAGTGGATTAAGATCGGGGCTGGATGGCGGTCACAAATCGTTCGAGGTGCGGCACGGAGCCCCATCTTGCTGAAATACAACATTTGGCTTCGGACCGTACTGTTCTTTGATCCACGAAAGAACATACTTACGCCTTTTGGAATGAACACCGGGTCCATTTTTTTCCATAGGAAGCCACCAATCCAAACATCATAACGCTAGCAGGATGCTTGGTCAGATACACGTTCTTGTGCTCGTCGGCCACGTCTTTTACCGGAATTGAACTAATATACCGGTCGGTTCTGGAATTGGATACGGGATCGACGGTAAATATGCTCTCTTCGGTGATCAGGATTACTGGATTTTTTCGTTCAGGATTTTCTTGCATCGTTCGACTCGTAGCTCCCGGATGCGGTTGGTAATCATGTGAGTTTTTTTTCCGTGCCCTCGACTTCACCTCGCAATCTTCCTTTACGATCTTCCGTGCCGTAAGGTCACTGATCCCGTGTTCCTTTGCCATTTTCCTTATTGAACGCACTGGATTTACCCGAATCTTCCTTTTGATAGCAGCGATAACCCTCGGAACCCGAGCTGACCTCGGACGACCTGTGGCCACCTTCGCGGATAGTTGTCCTTTCTTTTCTCGGTCTAAAACCCTTTTGACGGTCCACCGGGACACTCCCACGGCGATTGAAATGTCTTTTTGCGACATTTGCGCGTGGGACAAATCACGAATACGTTGCCACTTCGTCATGGTGCAAATGTCAAACTAAGTAAATCATTTTCTTTTATACACAGCCTACTACGGTATGAGCTATAGGTAACGTGCATGCAAAAAAAACCAAGGCATTATATGTACAGGTGAAACGGGGACCTTATATGTACGATGGTGCAAACATTATCACGCATACGGTAAATTGTAATTCTGATCATCCTCAGGGTAATATTAGAATTATTTAGAACTAATAAGATGTTTAAAATCATATACTGCCTCAAATAGTAAGGAGTACATCGACTATTAGTTTAAAAAAATCATCCCATCGAATTTACTTGAAAAACAATTTTAAACATATTTTCTACAGTATTTTACCCACATTTAATTCGATTTTTGAAATGCTGCATAATGGATATTTAAACTTTTTGGGTACACTGTCAAAACTTTTCAACTTTTGGATGAGTTTAGTAATACTAACAGATTATTTGCTTTATATAATTTAATTAAACATGTAATTCATAGCCATGTTAGTACTTTTAATAAATTCCAGACCGATTTTTACGGGAGATTGGCACATCAATTCGATTTCAATAGCATTATGTTGAAACTGGATTTTTTGGAGCATTCCAGGTTTTATATTTTAACTGGTTCAGGTTTTTCTGAAAATGACCTGGCAACGCTGATCAGGGGAGAGCCAGTGAGCGCATAATGCTGCTCCCCACGACGACGAAGCGAAGGCAGTTGGGATCCAGCTACGGAACGGAGATCACGGAGTGAATCTTGTTCGTGGGTTTACGGACAAAGCGTGAAAGTCACCAGTTTTGCCCACCTCGACGTCTTGGTCTCGCATCCCACGAACGATCTTGGAGAAATACTTGTTGGACATTCTATCGCGTCGGTCACGGTAACGAGCATCTACGCTGCCGGGGATCCGGCCCGCTCCTGGCTCTAGAAGACCAGTCATCGGCGTACACGTCAGCCACCGTCGCCACTGCCATTGTCTTGGCTGTTAGTATTGTCAAGCCCTGTCTAGTGGCGTCCCCGCCGACCAACCACCACCATAGCACGCCGTGGTCAAAGCCAGCGCCTTTGTGTGGGTCGCTACCGAGCTACTGACGAGAAACACCACTGCACACTGGGCCAGGAATGCAATCTAGTGGAGCAAAATTAATAACTCCGAAACGAAGCATTTCCGCGACTTCGTGTCTTAGCCGAAGTTTCTCATGATAACAAGGACCATCTATTGACATAAACAAACAATTCAAAGCTCTTCCGCAAAGATGGCACCACAATCTAACTTCTTTCTCTGACGATTTGGAGACTTGACGTCTTTGGCAAAGTTGCTTATCTTGACAAAATAAACAACTCTTTTGAAGGCGTAAAATTTTCACAGCCTACTGGTTCCGAGTTATATGGAGTTAAAGAAACAAATGTCCAAAATATGGTATTGTAAAAGATATTGTTGAAAAAAAAAAACAAAAAAAAACAGCACGTTGTTAAATTTATTATCTCCCAATTCAATCAATAATCAATAATCACAATCTGACATTTTCAGCAAAAATTAAGCAATACTCGATAAACAAAATATCAAAATTTGAAAGAGGTATATTTTGGTGTTTTTGAGATTTTTTAATTTCAGTGGAACATGTTTTTTTTTTCTATAACTTTGTTTAATGCATTGAAATGGCGTTTTAAAGACTTCACGACTTTGGAAAAGTTGTTTATCCTAATAAAATAAACAACTCTTATTAAGACGTCAAAACTCCACATTCTACACTGCATCACAAAGTACCATCTTTCCGGCGAAGTCCTACTAGCTCCGCCGGCATCAAGAGATCGCTCTGTTCGTGGCCATTGCCTTGGCCCATGTAGTGGCGGCCATCATGTTCATCTCCACTTCCGAAGTCACTACCAGCAGGGACGGCGTCCTCTAGACCATCGTCACCCCTAAAGTCTCACCTGCACCGTCGTCATCACCGCCCATCACCCGCAATGTACCGGCAAATCTAATAAACAGCTATTTAACCATTTCTGTAGTGTTGGTTAGGTTCTCCCGTGTCCAAAAAGTCTCCCACGCCAATACGCTTTGAGACCCGGAACCTACAAGGGTCTTGAGTGCCCATGGGAATTCCTATCAGGAACTCAGCGGTTCCGGGGCTTATAAAAACAGCCCTATAAAGCTTATATGAGACGCCCCATTGTATGTACCTACATCATATTGAACATCAACAGACAAAAATGATCACCAAAAAATCATTTTATGTCCGATATTTTTGTAACTCACAGGGAATAAATAAACACATATTAACTATGTTTTTGCAAAGCTGGTTTATTCAACCTCCTCTTCTAGGCTGAATGCCCAAACCTTGGACTCAACGCTACCCATCAAATCCTGTGCAACACTTGCGCCATCTTTCTTACACACATTCATCCACTCTTTCTTCAAATCCTTGTCGTTTTTGAAGACTTTCCCTGTTTTTCGGAGCTTGCCCTTCATAATCGCCCAGAATTTTTCTATGGGCGAAGTTCTGGCGAGTTTGACGGATTTGCTTCCTTCGGCACAAAAACAACATCGTTGGCTTCGTACCACTCCAACGGTTTCGCATTATGACACGATGCCAGATCCGGCCAAAACAGAGTGTCGCCTTTGTGGGACCGGAGGAAGGACAGCAGGCACTTCTGCAGGCATTCTTCTTAGCATATTTGGCCGTTGATGGTGCCGGTCATTATGTACGGCTTGCTGAATTTGCCGCACGCACAGATCACCTGCCAAACTAAGTACTTCTTGCCAAATATATCGACCTTCTTCTTCCGGAACTTCTCCGGAACATCCAGGCGGGACTTGCCGACGAAAAACTGGCGTCCGCTTTAATGTACGTCTCGTCGTCCATTACCATACATTTCAGCTGCACCAACCACTCGCGGTACAGCTTCCTGGCGCGGGATTTGGCCACCGCATTCTGTTTATCGGTTTGGTTAGGGGCCTTCCTTACCTTGAAGACATCAGAAGTAACACAAATTCATGGAATTAGGTTGAGTAAACTGCTATACAACCAAAACTAGTCATACAATGGTTATATGAATTGTTATAGAACATGTGTGTTGCTTGGGATGAAGTCCGGCCCGCTCCATTGTCTGCTGGACGAACCCGACGGAAGAATCTACCTTCTTGGCCACGTCCCGAATCGAAAGGTTCGGATATTGCTTGAAGTAATTTTTCGCTTTTCTTCCGCTGACAGATCGCCACTAGGTCGTCTAAGTCTCCTTGAACGATTTTACCACACGGAACACGGTCGAATTGTCGATTCCAAACTGCTTCGCAATCCGCGATTTTTCACGACCGCTCCCATAATGTTTTGTCGAAGCACTTCTTGCTTGGAAGCCATCGCAATAAACACTTGACAGATTGTGACGGGATTTTGCACATGTAAACATTACACTTTAAAATAGTTTTGCTCAAAATTTCATAAATATTTACCCATGCAATAAAAAGTTATACACATGCATTTTTTCGAGTATTTACAATCTTTGATAATCCCTTTTTCCGTTTAAAGCCTGGTACGCAGCTTAAAAGAAAACGGAAAAGTAATTTTTAAGGAATATTCCCAAAAGTAAATTTTACAGCTAT